CCCCAAAACCCCAAAACCCCGAGTGCAAGATATGCTGCTCTGTAGAAGGATATTGTGAATGTTTAAATAAAGAGAAAAAAGTTCACACTAACTCGTTGAAATGATTTTAATATGTTTATAAAATTTTAAGAATAAATTAATTGCTAATTGACTCTGCCTTGAAATGTATAAGGGAAAGTACACCAAGCATAATTTGAATCCGAAAAAGCAGAAAAGTTAGAGACTGAAGGATTTTTTGTAAAAATCAGACCCTGCTAATATACCAAAGCCTAATCAAGATTATCACTAAAACCAAGTAAAACGATAAGCAGAAATAATAGACAAAATGAATCAGTGGGATGAAAAATATCAAAAATAACTGGATGAGTTAGATGATAGATAATAAAGCTAAAAATCGGGGAAATAGAAAAATCAAATTTGTAAGGAGAGAAGGTTTGGGATTGGGAAAAGTAATTGGAGTAAAACTCGAAGTATAGAGTACTCCAAAGATAACTACAATAAGGGAGTTTTGATAAGTTTTTCACAAAGTGCTATTTCCTCGACAGGAGTGCATCCCAGAGATGAAGCTAAATATGAGGGAGATAATTGAAAGTTTTTACATATGACATGCTCCGATAAAGCATCCCTAAGTTAATAATAGCTAAAAAAGAGAAAAAATAGAGGTTGTAGACTCATAGACGATGACTATGATATAGGAGTAGACATGACATAAAGTACTAAGTACTATCAAAATACTATCAGTAAGCGTGGACCATATGATAAGAAGTATAGAAGCAGCATTAATAGACAAATAAGTGGTTATCCAAGAAATAGTCTAGATACTTTAAGCTAGAAGAGTAATGATTCACTAAAGACTAAAAGGGATAAAAAGTATCAAAGCAAGAAAAATTATTAAAACTCACAAAACAGCAACAAGAATAAAATTTCATCTTAAAAAGAGTATCATAATCAATAAATCAACAATCCAAGCAAGAAATCTGATAATAAACACTCTCCAAAACAAAAGTAAATTGAAAATTTAACACAAAGGCATCATATTTCTGATAAAGATAGTTAAAATAAAGTACCTGACTTCAAAGCTAAACGATGCGGAATTGACTTAGATTAATTTTAATATAGATCTCATAAAGATTCATAATAAATTTAATAGTAAGATTAATAAGATAAAAATAAAACTCAACAAATTACTTCTTAGAAAAAGTCAAACTCTATAGATAAATCAAAGGGATCAGAAACAGTTTCTAAAGGTAGTTTGGTTAATAGTGCAAATAAAAGCAATGGCAAGTAAACCACAATCAAGTCAATAACTAAATCAATAACCAAAAGGAAGTTAACTACAAGTAAAAAGGACAAAGCAGACTATAAAAGCCCGTAAGAAGAATCAAAATTAGTCATTCACTAGAAAAATATATATCCAACTAAGGCCAATGTAGATTAGGAGAGAGTTGAATTCAAATTTCCAATTGATAATGAAAAAATATTGAATCTCCCACCAATACCCTTTAAATCAGATAAAGTTGAAAAAGAGAAGACCATACAGTTAGAGAGTGAAGAGGGATTCTCAAATGACGAAACGAAATCAAATCCTTAAGGTGGAGGGAACAAGCTTTGTAATCTAAATAAAAAGCAAATACAAATTTAGCAGCAATAGTAGCAACAACAATAGTAATAACAGCCGAGTGATGATTAGGGTGAAACTAAGTAAAAGAAGTCAAACTAGCTTGCTAAGATGTTTAAGAAGAGCGATGAGAATAAACTTGATTGGGGCTACTATATTGACACACTTACTGATAATGATATTATTTGCAAGATTAAGTATATGAATGAGGGAAAGCAATCTGAATAGGAAATTAAAAAAGGAGATTTTATGAGACTAAACCCCGAAATATATCTGAATGACATGAATGTGAATTTCTATCTAAAGTAAGATTATTATTAATGCTCTAATAATTATATAGATTTTTAGAAAACTACATTTGCACTCCCGAGAAATAAAAAGAGATTTTTGTGTTTAACTCATACTTCATTCAGAAACTAATAAAATAGAGTCAAATGGAAAGTGAGTTTAAGTTGTTCAATGAGAAGCCTAAAATAGACTATGCAGGAGTAAGAAGGGTAAGTATCATTTAATGTTATAATAGTATTTATAATAGTGGACTCGAATGTTTGATATGTTTTAAAAGAAGTATATTTTTATCCCAATATGCTAGAATGATCATTGGACAATAGCAGTGATATGCCAACCGGGAAAAATTCTTGAGTTAATGAATAGTCATATAAAAAATAGTCTTAATGGGCCTCCCAAAAGGTCTGAACCTATTTTGAATTAATCATAGTTTAAGCAAGATGATTAGAAAAATAAAAAGAGAAGATCTGCAAATGAAGAGGTCAAAAATCAGATGATCGAAAAAAGCAGAAAGTTCAATGTCAGTGAGGACGGAGGTTCTGAGTCAGAATGTGATGAAGATTCTCAGAATTACGACTATGACGATGAGGATTATGAGGACGAATTGGAATCTGGCTAAATTGACGAAAATGAGGAAAACTTTGAGCGAATGCTGTTTGATTCTACAAACAATGATTATGCTTTTAAAAAGCCAAGTTAAATAGATAACTCAAAGCCCTATATCATATATTTTGACTCTCTTACTTCCGGCTACTAAGAAAACACCGTCAACTGTATCAGGTAATACATTGAAATGGAATTTTTAGATAAAAAGGTCAAGGACAACAAGTAGTATCAGAATTTTTTCAGCGATCCACAGTACTAGTGGCCCGGACTAAATTAAGAAAACATGCCATGTTACTGCCCCAAATTACCTTAATAAAAAAACTCCTATGACTGTGGACTATTTCTACTTGAGTATGCTGAGTGCTTTTTAGAAGATCCAGATTTCATAGAATAAGATTTACTGTAAACGAAAGGAAAATTATTCAGATAGAGAATTATCAGCTGCAAAAGAGAAATAATAAAAAGGATCATAATAGGACTAGGTACCAAAATTGATCATCCAGGTATTACTGCTACCGTTGCTAACTGCTATAAAGAATACAGATTAAGCTATAAGGATAAACTAATATTTATTAAGAGGAAGTAGTAGCAGTCCTAATAATTGCCAGAACAGTCACATAACAACAATTCATGCCAAAATGATAATGGAAATCGTATAGCTACTAATTTGACTCAAGAGGAGCAGGAACTAAATAATAGATCATTAGATAGAGCAAAAAATGATAAACTAATGAAAAATTTCATTGATAACAACAACAATAGTAGTGGAGAAAGCCCAACTACAGCAACAGCGAATATGAAGATTGATAAACCTTATGAGAGTAAAAGTTGATTTTAAAAAACAGGTATAAAATCTAGCTACACCTATTGAAAACTATAGATGCCTACACTCTAAATTGAAATCATTATCACATGAAATAGTATCCTATACTTTTGGTTTAAAATATTAGTTTAAATCTCTTCTTATAATCGGCATTAAAATATCTTCTGATTATTGACTTGGGGTTTTGGGGTTTTGGGG